CTATTTGAGTTTTTTTAAGCTAGAGACCATTATGTAGAGACGGATGGAGCTTTTGCTAGTTTAAAATAGATGGCAGAATAAACTTAATGAAAGTTGCCATTTTTATTCCACTCTGTATTGTGTTCATTGGATTTAAAAATATGTCAAAGTAAAGAAAACTGATTTTCGTAATATTGTTAAGAGTTATTGCTCCGCTGACCGCTGACAATAGCAAGAAATTTGTATAAATAGGCCTTTTTGGTTTAATCCTGTGCAAAGAGAATAAGTGACACTAGCCCCGGGTTATCATACTTTTTTGAAAAATTTTTTTAAGAAAAAGGTAACTTTTAATAGAGAATTAACATTATCAAACATGCCATTATTCTTTAAACGATTAGGTACTATTAAGTTGTAGTAAATCAATTCCTTAACAAAATCAAAAAATAATTTTTAAACTGGACGTAATATAAAGTCATAATTATTAAATCAGCAAAGTAAATTCGGGTATAAAAATATTTGAAAAATAAGACTATAATATCCTTTCTCAAGACGTTCCGTGTTCGTACCGAGGGATAGGCGATATTGTCTTCCTCGTCTACCTAGTCATCGTACATGAACGATGACCTAGTCACAGCTTATACAATACAGCTCCACAACTCAGTGTCGGCGTCTTTGATGTGGTGGTCGAGAACCAAGCAAGACGAAATGGTGCTATCTCTATTAGATTCGACGGAAAAGTCGGGCCCGGATTAAAAAATATTTTTATTAATGAAATAATTGAAGACGTTGGCGTAATAAGGTTGGTTACATGCCACATTAAGTAAGTTTTGAAAAATTAAGTTTTAAATTTGTTTTAAACGTGTCAAATATAATTTAAAAAATTATTTAAAAATAAATATTACGAAAAATAGCACATCTTTCGGATTAGAGGTAAAATAATTTGTATGTGGCTAGTAATATCCTCGTTAACAGATGTTTTGAGCTAAAACAGTCACTTCACGACCAATTGTGACTTGGATCCTTTTTACACCAAGGGCTTCAATTGTTAACGAATTTTGTCACGCCCGTGGAAGCAAATTAAGTGGTATTCCGTGTGTCTGGCAAGTGTTTATACCTAGATAAACGAATGCTTCGATTGAGGTCTGGGAAGTCTATGGTATTCTGGAATTATAACGAATTAGTCACTTGTGCTTTTATTTTAACAGTATTGGTTTTCTTTAGATGTATTCTTATTCATTGGAATACAGATTTGTAGAAGTAATATTTTGACAGTTTTTATCAATACGAGTATATTATATTTAATTTTTATCTAACCATACCGAAGTAGGAAATTTTGAAACTTTATAGTAATGTGAAATTTGAATTACAATATTACACGAAATTACATAATCAGTACTAATTTTACGTAGGTACTAAATTTGTACTTGGAGAAAGTAATATCGATTTTTATAAGAAAACTTAATAAGTAAATTAATTTAGTTCCTATTTCTAATGTAACACTTAAACCAAGAAAACAAATAAATAGTAGTTTGTTTAACAAGAGTGGATATGATAGTCATATCACACGAAGACGAAGTTTAAGCATGACGCCGTAGGCGGATTACTCAATCGTCTGATTGTGATATGGACAATCCACTCGACTTATACAGTATATTTTTTCTACGACGCACTAACGAAAATCTACAAATTTAAAAAATTATTTTAGGTTATTTAGATAAAATAACTAATTTTAAAATAATTTACAAATTTTACTAATTTATAAAATAAAATAAACATAAAAAAAAGATTTAATCCCGGGCTTTTCGCGTGGAAGGCAGATTCTCTGTCCTCATCTTCACCGATAATTTTAGGATTTTAGTTTTAATACTCGTAATTAAATTAGTATCATGTAGATTAAATTTTTTTTTTAAATGTGGACCCAATAAAAACAAAAATGCTATTAATTATCGAGTCTACAGAGCAATAACTCATTTTAATGTATATTTAATATTAATAACTAAAATATATACTGACAATTAGTTTGTCAGAATTGTCACTTATTTAAAAATTTTTAAATAATAGGACTTGGGTGACCAAAATATGAACTGTGACTTGTGGATTTAATTTTTTTAAAGTGTTCTCACTACCTAAAATGGATATGAAATATATTTGTTTAGTTGAACGCAATAGCATACTTTTTCGTTTTGTAGTATGTGCGTAGATTAACTAATATCCATGTGGGCTTAGAAAATTTCATTTTTCTACACTCACATGGATATTATATTTATCACTCATTCCTCTCACAGCTAAAGAGTCAACAAAATAATAATAGTACCTTTAACTTAACACAACAGAGAGCTGAAACAAAATTAATGAAATTATAGACTCAACGAAATTATACGCACGGCCCAATACCTTACCTAAGTACGCTTCTGAACGCCAAAGCCGTCTTTTCCGTCCGAAGGCGGAGCTTAAGCGATGCGCGACGGAATCGACGCAAACCGTTACCGCCAAGAGAGTGTTTTAGCTGTATTGTATAAGCTGTGACCTAGTATTGAAAATTTGACAGATACGGAATAAGGGGTACATATAGGATAGATCTGAAATTTAGTATTGGTCGATGGTGCAAAGTGGGAATATTTATTACATGAGATAATTTTGTTTTTAATATAGAATTTGCAATATTTTAGTATATTTAAAAAAGTGTTTGATTAGAAAAAGTTAGGTTAGAGCATTATATTTATATAATAGGTATATATTTTCTAAAATAATTCATTGTACAAAAATATCAACTAAGCTACTAAAATAATAAAATCTATAAATAATGTATTTAACAAATGTTTCACAATATATTAATTTACATGTTTTCTGACTTATCTGTGAAAGAAACGTGGATAAAATACTTAGTTTTCCTTACAATTTTTTTTTTTATTTTTTTGCAGTCTGCTGTTGTAATGATGTGATATTTTTTGCAAAAAAATGTCTTCTTTTTAACTTGAAATAAATAAAGAAAGAAGATGACTTAATTTTTTATTCTATACAAATATATAAAATATATCCAAAAAATTCGCAAAATGACAACGTTGTACGGTTGAACAAACAATCTTAACTTCTTTTACCGCCATCTAGAAAACTATTTTCTGCTTACGACTTTTTTTAATTTACGCTACTGTCCGCTTGGAACCGCCATGTGACGAGCATAATAAAATCAAACTTTTTCTCCACAAGCGTTGACTTACTATATATATTTATACAATGCTTATATGAATAATTTTTTTATTGACTAATATAAATTGTTTATTACAGTAAATAGGTAAATAGTTAATAGTTACTTATAGCATTGAAACAAAGACAAAATATACAAATATTGATTATAAGCAATATTTACTATTGTGAGCAATATTATCCCGATATTTTATGGGAATCCTACGTTACTTGAATCCTCAATTACCTACCCAGCAAGTGTTTTAAATAATTTACAGTTAAAATTTATTCCAATTCTTAATTAACTCATAATCCATAGGGCACGAATCCATCCCAATTTCGTTACCTCTTGCAATTAACATATTTCCCAATAGTCTGCCCACGGAAAAAATAAAACAAAAACAAAAGGTAGCTGCTCACACCAGGGGTTGCTTGTTGATGATAACTGGTATTATTTACATAACATGATCTTGGCATTATCTCGTGATACAATTCGATAGGGCGTCAGATTTTTATGAATATACGAGGCGGACACGCTGTCCATACACATGTAGACGATTATAAATAATCCTGTGATGGTTCTATGCAGTGCCGTAGATTAGGACGTGGGGCGTGGCCCTTCTAAATTGGCTTTCTGTGTCATGTATTTTATAGAGTCATCATAACATTACACATTATAAGTATTATAAAAATATTTTATTATTTGGTATGTATCCGCGATACATTGCACATGTTAGCTCTACCCTTGTCACATGTTATGAAGTCACGTGTATTACAAATCCGATGCATCTGCATGGATAAATACAAGCAACGAGTCATTTTCGATAATACAAAACTGTGAAATTCGTTCATTATTAAAGATATTGGTTTTTATGAAATAAAAGTAGAAAAGTTATTGTATAAGTATAAATATTATGAATAGTTACTTTTAGTTTTAGTAGTAAAACATTTAGTTTTAGTAGGGGAAACTGGCCTAAAATGACATACTCGTGTAAAATGACATATCGACCACATTGCTACTTTAAGACATGACAGCGCCGCCCTAAATAGCTAATTGCAAATCTTTTTCATCCGTGACCATAGTCAAGTTTATTCAGCGTGGCAGGCAGCACGCGTCTGGACTAAATACCGAAAGTCGTTTTTCTCGATCCAAAAAAATATTTATGTGGTCACTTAATTTATGAGGAGCAATAAGCCTAAGTTGGCTCAGTACAGGTAAACAAATAGACTTGTTTTCTTTATTTTAATGTAATTAAACTTTTAATTTATTTGTTTTATATATATTTTTAAGTAATTTTTAAGAAATAATTGTTTTGGGTAAAACGACATACCCATGTCATTTTAGGCTCCTACTGATTGATGGTCACGTTAGCCACAAACAATTATAAGTTATCCACTTATTATACTCATGCAATTACAAAGTGGCTCAAGAATAATTCCGGGAATTGTAACTTCTTTTCAAGTAGGAAAGCAATTTGCTGAAGCCTATGAACGTAGTGCATCCATGGAAAATTTCGTTAGTAAGTTCAAAAAACTGAAATCCATTCATTCAACGCAAATATTTTTCCTTATTGGATGTTTGCTGCTTCTTTAAAAACATTTCTGAACAAAATGATCTCGAATCACTAACACTAAACCACCAGCCTCCACTCACACCTCCACTACCATTACACGCTATTGAGATTACGGTCATACCTGGATCATCAAATACCTCTCAGAATACTCCAAATAAAGAATGTATACTAGACTGTAATAAAATTTCCGTAGTGAGCATAATTTCAATCCCAAAGGTTTTCACGTCTTTTGAACGAACAACGCATAAAATACAGGGAACGGTTATGATAACCGCAACACCAAACTTGGAAGAACTCAAGGCTAAACAGAAACGTTTAGTTTCGGAGCGACGAGCAAAACGTAACCAGGTTAGAGTCAAGCTGTGGGACGATGAAGATGAACAAGAAACTCAATACCCATTTGCTGGGATTAAAAATGTTGAAGAAGACGCTGCATGTATTTATTGCAACAGCCTTTATTCCCAGTCGAAACCAGGTGAGCTTCGGCTGTAGTGTCAAATATGTAAGAAGTGAAGTCATACAGAATGCGCCGGTGTTTCCCCACAAACAAAGTTTTTACTGGCGAACTTGACGACTATTTTTTTTGTTTTACGTTCTAGTTGGGTATGTTGACCTGTTTACTTTTGTTTACTTTGGTTTTTAAAATAAAACTCTTTTGTAATGCTTCTTAATTTTTTATTTTTAACCCTTTCTACGACTATGTCATTTTTTCCTAATACAAGTCTAAAATGACATAATGCACAGTTTTTTATTAATTTGGATGTCATTGCTTCAAAATGTAAAAGTTCAAGGTTTTGTGTCTTTAACAGGAACTGGCATAAACTAAAGACCCCATTAAACACTAAATGAATGCTTAAAGTTTTGTTTTTCCAAGTTTTGTCATAGTTTTTGCTCAAGGTATGTCATTTTAGGCCAGTTTCCCCTAGTAAAACTATACTTGAGAGCAAAAAAATCTACTGACTAGCTGCACTCTCATTTCAGACTCCGTCTCCATCTAAACTATTTTATTGATTTTTTTATAACATTTAGTATTGCCACCCAGTCCTAATTACACCCCAGTTTTTATCTTTATATTCCTTAGAATGAAACAGAAGCCGGAAATGTAAGTGCAGCTAGTGAGTCGATTTTTTGCTCACAAATATAGAATAAAAGCTTTATGCGATAAAGTAAAATAAGCAAAGGTATTTTATTTTAAAGAAATGTATTATTACATAAACGTCAAACAATAATGCATATATTTAAACTATCAAAGATTCTAGTGTTCATAAGTAACGTTAATTGCTAATATTTTACAACAGACTTGCATACTGCCAATAGAACAAGGAAAGCATTTTGAATATCTAATTAAATAAAATTAATAAGCTATTTTTCCTTGTTGATTAATATATATAACTTTCGAACTAATAAAGTTAGCACTAATAACAAGTTCCTTAATTTTTTGTACACACTGTCTCACAACCGAACATACGTTTGAGTTCTGCTAAGACATCGAATTACTCTTTATATAACTAAATTATTTTTTATTTTTTTATACAAATAACGACGGAACACATTGTTATTTCATAGTTTTTTTATTGTCACTCATTAATATAGGTGAATAACACACATAACAATCGTACACACACATACACTTTAATTTAAACCCTTTAAAACCATAAAAAAATGAACAGCGACCCTAACACTCTAATTCAGATTTACAATTATTTTATCCATCCCGTTGCCAAGTACAGAGCAGTACCTTACGGCGTACTTTAACACATTTTGCCTACAAACTCACCACACTTGAGAGACGTATACTTCGACGATGCCAATATCTTGTCTTTCGCTCTCCTATAGAAAAAGTTTCGACATCTTCAGCACCTTAGTCTCACTCATTTCCAAGCCCTCAGAAAACAATACGTCTTTAGCATTGTAAAAGGCTCAAATACACATTCCCAAAACACTCTACAAATCCCCTGGCATCCTCGGCGCCTCCCACTATTTCGCAAACTGAAAAGAAAACTCCCCCAACCCAACATAAGATTACTATCTGAATCTCAAGATCTCCCACTCATCGCTGAACTACAGGATCTGCTAGAGCGCCTCATTATGTATAAGAGCAATCAACAAATCCAAATCACATATTATACAGCCATTGTCACGGAATTCCGTATTCGAACACGGAATTCCCTGTTTAAACTCAGAATTCTAAAATTCCGTGCTCAAACACGGAATTTTCGTGTTCAAACAGAGAATTCCTTGTTTAAACACGGAATTTTATTTTCGAACTCTAAATTTAAATGGCGTATTTACAGGCTACTCTTGGGTGACTTGATAATCTTGGGGAGGGATGGGTAAATACATATTCTTTAAATATCCTCAGATTTTTACTTTTGCCGACTTTTGAAAAGAGGGACGGCGTAAGTAGTACCAAAAGTCTTGCCCTCTTTGGCGCCTGCATAATAATATTTTTCCTTTAATTTTATTTCCAGGTCAGTCTTATTTCTTCTGGTCTAGTCCCTGAAGCCTAAATTTCATTTAAATCGGATCAAAATAACAACCTGTATAGCGTTTTAAATTTACTCTCATTGCCTCCCTAGCCCAGATGATAAGAGAGGGGTAAAGTGAGGTGGTGTCTAAATCCAATTAGAAAAAAGTGAAGAAATGGAGGACCGGTTAAGAATTTTGTTGCTTGTGTTTCTATTAAATGGTACTATCAAAAAATGGTGGTACTATTTAAAAAACTCGTAATGACGTCATATTTCGAAAAATGATGACACGTCTTAAAAATATACTTATACCAAAATATGCGCATTTAAAAAACAAAATCCACTTCTGAATGGAAATGGACAAATAAGTATGTCCGTCGTTTATGGAAACCAAAGGTCGAACGTTTCGGTGTCAATCGTTTTTTACCTTCACTCTCCTACAGCCTTCAAGAGCATCTTAAAAGTTAATTTAAAATAAAATTGTTCAAGTATTTGAGACCAAATTATGAGGATTCTGAGAGCATTCGTATTTCGTCCCCCACCCCCTCCCACAATTTCCCAAGTCCCTTGAGAACGTCCTGTAAATATGCCAATAAAAAATATAGCTTGAATATAGAATTTCCTAATGACTTTTGAGACACCAGTTCTTTCAAATAAGTCAGTGACATTGACATGTTTACATGTTAGCCTGCATTATACCTTGTGCTGTTTAACGTGTTAACTTCATGTTTTTCTAGTGAAGATTTTTTTTTCAATACATTAAATTAACTAAACAAAATGCCTGAGAAAATTTTAATTCAGGAGTATACCTTACCAAAAACTTAATATGGCATATTTTAGCCAGTCAAAGACTCTAAAAATTAGTTTTTAACACATTTTGTACACTATTATTTAAATGATTCAATGAAAAATAAAAATAATCCGATTATCGTTCTTTTTTAACATTTAATCCGTCACAAAATACAAAATTTTGAAAAGACAAAAGGAGACCGCTGCAGGCAGAGCGTTTATTTATATACTTTAGTGTCGGAAACATCCATATTGCTTTCGGGAATTCCCCTAATTCAATTATTCTACACATAAAAGTTTATAGATTTTATAGTTTTATGTACATTTATACATTCATAACTCATAAGATATAAGTATGTTCATTTTGTAGAACACTGAATTTTCTGAAATTACCCAAAAATTAATTAATCCCAAAATTATACGATACTACATGAAATTCTCTATAAACCAGATAATTATCCGGATATTGGCAACACTGACTAAGATAATAAACAGACTCACTGTCTACTCCTGTGTAGACTACACTGTCTACACAGAAGCAAGGCGGATATTTTCGTAGCCCTTTTACATGTAAAAATATCGTGCCTGAGACCTACGAGCACAAGCGACGTCACCCGATCTGACCAATCGAATACGTGAAATCAGGACGCTACAAGTTTTAGCCCTGCTAGCCAGCAACATCAGCTAACGGAAAATATTTTGAACGTCAGAATAAAATTTAAACAAGTAAATCAATAAAATCCGTGTAATAATTAAAAATAGTATCGGTAGATAACAATACATTTTTATTTTATATTTATATAAATTGGTTTCCCCTTGTAACCCTTCCAGCCCTTATAGCCCTACAGCCTTTACGGACCAGCCCTCACTGTTGGGTAGGTATTTAAAAAAAAGGCAATTAACCCCTTTAAAATAATTACCCGATAAACAATCGTATATTGAGTAATGGGTATTGTCAAAAATAAAAAAATGTTGCAAAACTATTTATTTATTATCCAACGTAATTTTATCTATTTTTTCTACAACTGTTTTGATATAGTTTTAAAAAAGGTTAAAAAATGTATTTTAATTTTCACAAATATTTTGAATGGCCGCTCTACTAGTAGATCACGTATATGTTATGTAATTATGAAAATAAAGTAAGATAATCTGATTGCTAGGTTAGATGCATTAGTGACTAACTAAAGGGGCTCCACAAGATATGTTTCTAAAGTAGGCCATCACTAACAAACACAGAGATATGAGTTGTGTCCGTGCTCTAAATTAAATCCTTTACACTTAAAACACAGAACAATGTACTTTAGAAACACTTTTTTGGGGATCACTCCTTACTTTCTGATAAGAAAATCCGAAGAAACAACTAACTGGAATATGAATTGGAATTTGGTTACGCTACTGGTATAAGAAGATCCCTGCTGTACTACCAGGAATACAAATGCTATTTAACATGCGTGTTACACGTCTTTTTGTCGGTATTGGACTTTGATGTCATGATTTATTTACCTTAAATCGGTTACAGTTTCCTTTACATCATGGTTTATCACAGTCTTTCATTGATTACCGTTAGATACGAACAAAAGCTCTATTATACCTTGATTGTGTATACAAGGTGCATATTTTTTACTTTCAATGGTATTCCGTGAACGATATAGGTAGTTTTAATAAATTTTATTCTCAAGGGTAATGCAATAAAACAAATGGTACAGTTATTCACTAGGGTTTGAACTATTTCACTCCTAAATTCCGTACCATTATCTATTAGAACTTTACTCGCTCCTCTAACAATTTAATAATTGTGGAAGGAACCATACTTCTCATAGGAAATAATAATGAAAATTTACCAAAGCAGCAACAAACAGACAATATTGTTATACTTATAATAACTATTTTTATAATAAACACAAATTCGGATTATTTAACACTTATATTTTTAAAACAACGTTCAACTGTAAAATACAAATATCGAATGCCTAAATATTAATTACTGAATAATGTCTTTCTTCTTCCCGAGATAAGAGTCCTGTAGACGGTCGACTAAAAACAATAAACAACGGCATGAAGGAGGTTTCATAACATTCGGCCATTCTTCTAGTCAATATTGTCCTCAGACTCCTTATCAAGTTTATCTACAACAAATAAATATTATATTATATTACCTTTTTATTTCGTAATTATTGTTTTCATCCTATCTTCTGCTCTTCCTAAGCTCACAGTACAT